TTTGCTCCATTCGGAGGCAAAAACAAAAATTATCAATTTTCTGTCAGTGGTCCGTTTTGCCCTAGGGGTCCCTTTTGCCCTGCGGTCCGTTTTGCCTGCCTGGTTTGTTTTGCCCTACCCTCCCCTATAAAAAGAAATTAAAATAAGCATTTTTATTTGATTAAAAAGAACCATTTTTCTGACTGATTTGCTAATTTTTCCCGCCTTTTTTCTCCGTGTAAAACAATAGATTGAGAAATACTGATATTACCACGAAAAGCCCTGACAAGTGCGGGAGCCAAGGGTATATAGAGGAGGCGTTAACGGCCAGTGGAGTGATAAACCCAGGAGGGTAGTGAAATAAATATTATATGCGTTTGGAAATAAAATAGAATAGTCTGTTGGAGAGGAAAAAATAGAGAGTTGGTTGATGTAAAGGGCAGTTGGATAACATAAAGCCGGGAAGAAGAGTCGTACACGAGTGCCACGACGTGCAATAAGTTATTGCCGTGGCTACTAACGCGGCGTATAAGACACGCGAGAAAGGGGGTGTTAACGGGCCGCCGTGAAAATCGAATGTGAAAAGGAAATTAGCTTCCGTGGTGAGCCACCGAGTATAAAGATAAAAGAAAGGATGGGAATGAACTGCGAAAAAAAGGAGAAACAACGGGTGGAGAATGGGTGGAGAGAAGAGATATGAGAAAAGTTTGATGTTTGAACTCTATGGCGATGTGAGATGATGAAGAAGGAAGGAATATGAGAAGTAAAAAAGACGGCTTTCTATAATAAATAAGCGGTGAAAATGGCTGAGGATAAGTCGGGTCAGAGTTTATTCCTGGCATAAGCTTCAGGGATTTTTACCCGTGGTGAAAAGAAGTCATTTTAGGATGGAATGAGAGGTGCTGAGGGGGGAGGGGGAGGAGAAATGGAGGGAGATGAAAACCGATCGCGCGCTTTAGCCTCTTTACAGCCTAGAATGCAAATGACGCTCGTATCCGGGCGCTTGGCTCTTCCTGGACACGAGTCCCTCTTTTGCTTCTTCACTTCCTTGCAGAAGTGGAGGGACAAGTAGAGACAACAGGATGGAAAAAGGGGGGTGGGAGATGGTTTAAAATCCGAGTTGAACGAGCAACGAAGCCTTTTGGCCTCTCCGACGTCTAACCCTCCTTGGTACACTCGCTTAACTACCCGGCCAGAAATAATAAAATGCAGATTCGCTCCGAATCTTTTTCGGCTTTCAACGAAAAAAAAGGGGCAGCCCTTCGATACAAAACTCTCTGAATATGCCCTCTGTCAACCGAGTACTTGCGGGAGCTTTGGCATTTTTAAGCAGTTCAACTTTTTTACGGCTACGAGTGGTTTCGTTATCCGGGGTAGGCACTTGTTTTTTAACGAGCAGAATTTTTTTTTGGCAAATTCCCGATTGAGAATATTTTTTTTTTCAGTTGGCAGCCATTCCATCATTTCTAGAATATTTTTCACTTAAATTTTTAGACTAACAGCAATTTTTCGATAGAATAACGTGAAGTAATCGCTCATTGTCATGTTTATCTTACTCCGGGATATTCGACTGCACATGTTTCAGTTAGAAAAACGCATAGCGGAGGCCGAAGGCATTAACACTGATATTTTATTCATGAGGCACCTTATATGTGTCCTCAAGCGAGCACTTCTCTCTTCCTCCAGAAAGAGTGCGTGAAAAATGAAAAATAAAAAAATGTGCAAGCTACTAAATAAAACATCCATATACACTCGTCGTGCTCATAAATTTGAACCCACGTCTGATAGATTTACAAGCCGCTCCCCCATACCCCGCGCTTTACACCCCCCTTTACCAAACTGATATTTAAATTAGTACAACTTCAGTGGAGGCAGTTACTTTGAAAGCCAAAAAGCTCAGTGAGGGAAAGTCTATACACGAGGAAATATTCTCATCGTTGAAGTTTCACCACCGGCACTTCCGTTATCCTCTTTCCACCTTGCTCAGTTTGAAATCATCCCCCTATCCTCATTCCTTACGTAGCGGAAAGTTTCAAGACTTGGAAAAGTGTAATCCATTAACCCGGAAAAGCCACAGGCATTGAACCGACTGTAGTTTAAATCCCCGGTTAAAATGTATGAAAGACAAATTAAATCAACTTCTTGCTTCTGAGATTTTCAGGGCAATTAGGTGATGTAGAAGCTCCCAAATTTCGGTTTTTAGATGGACTAACCAATTATTTTGCAGGCCCAGCGCTAGAATGGGCCCAATGATGCAATGAGTCTATACAGTTTTCTGGGCCCAACTCTGGAGTGGGACTCACTGTTAATTTTACATTTTACATTTCATAAGACCCAATTTCCAGCCTCTCTAGAGCATAAAATCCACTGTTGAGTTGATAATTTTTGAAGCCCTGCGCTAGAATAAGGCCCATTATCAATTTTGGGACTTACGTCGAAATTTTGTGACTTGAAACTGATTTATGATTGATCTCTCAGGCCCTTATTCTGGGATAGAACCCTCCGCTAGGACAGGACCTGATTCTCAGTTCCGTTCTCAAGGATATCCTAGTACTTTGACTATTTTTTCTCCATATGAAATACTTTTATACTTTTGTAATCGTCTAATAAAAAAAAAATTTTTAGTAGAACATCAGAATTTTCATTTGACCCATATGACCCCAAGTTTCCGGACACTTTACAATGATTTTATTATTTAAACCTTGCAGGTCTGAATTTGAATCTCAATATTGAACGGTTAAAAAATATGTTTTAAATCTGACAAAAAGAGAAAGTTTCCTTTGAGAGGAAGATTGATGAAATAATTGAAAAATTGCAATTCTTCAAAATTACGAGCATTTTTTATGAATAATTTAGTAACAATCAATTTTCCACCATAAAAATCATTTGTTCGAAGTCGTGACAAATTTATTCAAAAAGATAATGTTTCCGAATGTTTAAAAATTTCAGTTATTCCGTTATAAACAACGAATGTTCAAAAAAAAAATAACGTTTAATATTGATGATTTTTTCCTTCAGTTGATACACTGCTTATTTTTTGAGCCCTTGTGCTACAAAAAGGCCCATTAAAATTTTTCAGAACCCTAATAATTCTAAAATAACAAACTCTGTCACTTTTCTGGCCCCTTGGGTTTGATAAAAATCAATAACATTCATTAAAATAACCCATTAATTAATTTTTGGGTCCTTGTGCTCAATAAATATCCATAACATCCATTAAAATAACATTAATTACGCGTGGTCTACACCTTCTAATTACAATCCTCAGTTCCTCATAATTAAGCGTTCCATGCTCTTTAACGACAAACTTACCCCGCGCGAAAAGCCGAGATATGCACGGTATGAAGGGCCCTGAATACTCAAGCAGGATCATTAAGAATCCCACTGCAGTATGATGCAATGGAAGTTGAAGGGTGTAACGCACCTTCGATAGCCCACTGGCCCACTTGCCTGGTAACGGTTACGGGTAGAATGCGGGAAAAAAGACGAGAAGAACGAGAGCTGACGGACTATGCGTGTGAGGGATGTTTGCACTGGGGCGTGCATGTGAGGGTGGAATGAGGGGCGAATTGAAAAGACGCGGAGATGAAGAAAAGACGAGTAAGTGCAAGGGTACGCAACCCTTTCTCCACTTGCGTTTTTTTCCTTCATGCAAGCGGCTTGACTACGCAAAGGGTGTAAATAATGAACGAAGGGATGATATGCACCTTCCGGGTAGTGGGGTTGCTTCAGTAGGTCAATATCCCACTTGAGAAATATGGAGAATGTTGAAATGGATGGATTTATGGAAATCTCATGTCGTAATTATCTCGTGAACAACAGAAATTATTCGTTCAGAGAATTCCTCGGGTTCGCGTTGAGTGATGGCGAGGAAAAAATTCATCATCAAAATGCAGAAACACCATTCACTCCGATTGAATTACCCTGAAAGTATCCTTTAATCCTTTTTTATTATCCACGACGAGAAAAAAAATGGTACAGCGGGCCAGACAGCGATACCAAAAGATCGAATCACTCGTAAATCTACGGGTAACGGTGTGATCGCATAACGGCGTCGCGGATGCGACGTTTTACGACTCTATTTTCGATGCAACGTTGGTAGGAACTTTACGCGCTGAATATGCTAAAATGGGAGAGAACGGGTGGAAAAGTCTCGTTGTCGAGAGAGAATTTACCCGAGAATGCAAATGCCGAATTCATCGGCCTCAACCGTCGGTCTAATGACGATCCGAATATATACCGCTAGAGGGCGCAAATCGCCTCAACCAATTTTCTTCTTTTATTTGGGGATTTTTTTTTCACTAACCTTTTCTTTCCTTCTTTTTCTCGTTTCGCCTGCCCTTCATCGAACTGAAAATTCTCAAATGTTCGGATACATACCGGAGACACCATTCGAATGCAAAACGAGTCGTATCACTTTGCCATGGGTTTAAAGGCAAATGGAATTCTCTGTTCTCTCTCTGGCGAATCATCCCTCGACGTACATTCGCACGACTATTTTCCCTCCTTTCCTCCACCCCATGACTATTCAGTGTTGGGTATTCCATGAATAATGAACGACTCACCATGGGAACCTGCAACAAATATTCGGGATTCATTTTTAATTAAATTGGCGCGTGAACATAATAAAATTGTTGGATTGACTTCGGCAATGAATGTTGGAATATGAAGAAGGAAATTTATTGAGGCAATGAAGTAAGCTAATAAAAAGATTATGGAAATCCATGTATCATTTCGTGATGGACGTAGACATTGAGTTGGTAAACGTCCTTCAGAACACAAATATCTAAATGTTCGCTCCTGACTCGATAAGGAAAAATTATTGACCATTTATAACCCCATATCTTCCAGTTCATTATGGTCTATGATGTTTACGTTTTACTGTTCTATGTCAGCTACAACAATTATAAAGAATTACGCCTACAGAAGACAATAAAGAAATCATTCATTTCTAATCAATTTTTATGGGTTCAAGCTGTATATAAGCTGTGCCGCACTCAAACAACGTACGACCATTTTCACCCAGTCTTGACCGTAAAGCTGCACGAAAATGTTGTTATTACGGCTCGTGCTCATCGTGCCGCTAGCGCAAGTAGCGCCATTTATGATGCCGAGTCTGGGTGATATGTGGAAAATTGCAAAGTTTGGAATGGAAGTCGGAAGTAAGATAAAAGCAGGTTACGATTTCATCGAAGGACTCAACGACGATACCAGCGAGAGGATCGATAAAATATTGGACCAAGTGGCTGAAATATCTAACAAGATAGACGGATTCGAGTCGCGATTGGATCAGAGATTGGACGTTATAGTGGAAACTCTGGTCTCAAGGATTACACTTATTCAAAAACTTGACAACACTTTCCTCGAGCTGCATAAGATCATTGTGGATGTCGATCATCTGTGGGACAATTACATGAAGTACTCACAGAATCGTGAAAATTTTAATAGTAACACACTCAAATCTTTCATCAAATTGGCGACTGGAGACCAGCAAGGTGGTCTCCAGAAATTGCTCAATCAGATGCATCGATTGGTTGTCCCACTCAGGACGCAACATATCAGGGACAGTCTGTTCCTAACTATGCTGAAGTACGAGCGCGTAAGTTGACGATTCTGTCATCTTTATTCTATTAAATAAATGAATGAACTGGTTCATTGGAAATCTTACAGGAGACTGAGTTGATAACCTGTGACGAACCCATCTCACATCAACAGGCGATCTACCAAATTTATTACAGTGTTGCTCTCACCGAATTACGAGGCTTCGTCATGGCTGCCTATGCTTACGGATTACGACCCAAATATGAAAATGGTATCATTTCGAATTCGAAAATGTTGATTTTGTCGGCGTTCGAGCACTGATAGTTCTTTACCATTAAGGAAAGTACACTGAAGAAGTGAATTCGTTGGAGGCACGATTCACAATGAGGTCACGAGACTATTTGGTGGCTACCAAAGAAGCAATGAAGATAGCTTCGAACCGAATTCGCCGCTGCGATCCTAAGGGCGGACATAAAAAAGGTGACTCTCATCATTATCATTCGATGGATTTCAGCTAATATTGCATGCTTGCAGGAATATCGTTTGTGGAGATGGACGAACTCTTCCAAACGTATATAATCAATGAAGCAGATATACATCCTGACGATTCGTGTAAAGAAACTTGCGGATCGATAGGGACGCAGACATACCGCAGGAAGACAGATAGCTACGTTAATTACAATTATGATAGGCCTTGCTGGGGTACTATCAGAGATTGCAGATATGGTGGAGGAAAAATGACAGTCTGTGATACGGTAATTAAGGAATACTTTCGGATTTTATCGTAAAGAGCTGAATACATCAGTTTTGGACATTTGTCTTAGAGATACGTAACCAACAACTCCAGACGATATTACTGGTTCAAAGAGGATGATGGCACAGTCTCAGGAGATAATAGTGTTGGTTGCCCTGGACAAACGAATTGGCCGAAAGGATGGATCCGTGGATTCTACAAATGTGACTATTGTATTTGTACCTGTGAGGCTGATAGAAAATTCAGTCGCGGAAAGAGGGCTATCAGTTTTCTTCCTTCACGATCAGATGCGGTCAACAACATGTTAATCACTTATTCATCAAAAATTTTAAATGTTACCATTGTTATTGATTATCAAAGTAAACATTTTTCAGGGTAGTCACAGGCGTCAGAGTAGTTCAGAAAGAGAAAATGATTCTTATTCAAGTTCGCGAGGGAAAACTCCAACCACAAGGAACGATTTTGAAGGGCAGTGATAGATGGGTGCCGCTTCCAGAATTTCAGTATGCTCAGTTGGGGTCTGCAGGTGGATATTACCTGATGAGAGGAGCCAAAAAGGCACTGCAAGTACAGGGAAGAGATTTTGAGTTCTTCAAGGGTGATAAGAAGACAGTAAATTTAGATGATGTTTCGGGCCCGCCGGGTCACGTTGTCATCGGTAAGATGAGCACAAACTGGATGTATCTATTATTCGGTATAACCATTCTTCGGTAAAATTTCAGGGGTTCGATTCCAACAGGCGAAAGATGCAAAGATAACGAAAGATAATCCTATCCGTCTTGAGGTCTTGGCCGTACCATTTGATTTCGAGGAAGGAAAAGTGACGCCTTCACGGTGGAAGCCAGCTAAATGGATTGGTGTAGAGGACAATAAGAAAAGGTACATTATGCACTGAAGAAAGAGTAGAAGATATTTCTAAATGTTAATGTAACTTCTAGGACGCAAGTTAAGTTCAACGAACCAGATGTCCCGACCAAACATGGACAAAATCTGCCAACGCTAGCACCAAATCTCTACGTGAATTTTCAAGCATCAGATTTGAAGAAGGACGCAGGACAAAGTACGATCCCATTCTGGGATATACAAGACGTGATCACAATACCCAGTTTTGCACTCCAAGGGGTTGGTATTTTCCACAAAGGGCACAGGGATGGACTCTATGGAGGTTACCTTGCGTTACGACTACTCTCTCTTGAATTCGCCGATAACCTCAATACCACGGTGCCGCAAGATTTGCAAAACGCCTATGAGCAGATCTATAGAGCGCCCTTGTACACACCAACTGGTGTCCTTTGAGGTTTCAAAAAGTTATACAATATAATGTAAAGAAATATATCATGAGCATGGATAATGTACGAGGGGCAATGAAAAGTAGCAATTAATGCATTCTTGAATAAATAATTTCAATTTGATCCACGAATTTTTATTCAATAACATGTTTTAAACTTCTACAATAACCAGCAGTCTCTAGTTTGTAACAGTCTATAAGATATTACTCCTTCAATTTGGAAATGCAAACAAAAAAATTAGTACACAATGGGANACCAGATGTCCCGACCAAACATGGACAAAATCTGCCAACGCTAGCACCAAATCTCTACGTGAATTTTCAAGCATCAGATTTGAAGAAGGACGCAGGACAAAGTACGATCCCATTCTGGGATATACAAGACGTGATCACAATACCCAGTTTTGCACTCCAAGGGGTTGGTATTTTCCACAAAGGGCACAGGGATGGACTCTATGGAGGTTACCTTGCGTTACGACTACTCTCTCTTGAATTCGCCGATAACCTCAATACCACGGTGCCGCAAGATTTGCAAAACGCCTATGAGCAGATCTATAGAGCGCCCTTGTACACACCAACTGGTGTCCTTTGAGGTTTCAAAAAGTTATACAATATAATGTAAAGAAATATATCATGAGCATGGATAATGTACGAGGGGCAATGAAAAGTAGCAATTAATGCATTCTTGAATAAATAATTTCAATTTGATCCACGAATTTTTATTCAATAACATGTTTTAAACTTCTACAATAACCAGCAGTCTCTAGTTTGTAACAGTCTATAAGATATTACTCCTTCAATTTGGAAATGCAAACAAAAAAATTAGTACACAATGGGAACCCGAGTCGAATATTAGGACCTGAATTCCCCCTTGAACACCCATCATGAGTAGGAGGACTAGGATGAAGTTAGGGTGTATTTACATTCAGAAAGACCCCCTGGTTTCCGCCTGAACGTGCGAGTTATTTCCAAATTCCGAGGGTTCAGGAGGAAAACAGAAGGTGTGTTAAACCTAATTATCGCCTGCACCGCCTAAAATGTTTTCCACTCCATCCCCCCTGGAAAGAACCTACAAACAGATCATCCTGGCTATCAGGGTTAATTCAGGGGATTTATGATTCCTTTTCATTCGACAGGAGAAGGGGGAAAAAGTATCAGTTGAGAAGGGTTTTTACGTCTTTAGGATGACGCAGGTTCATATAAGGAGTTATTCAGGATGTATAGGATGAAGAAAGAAGGAAAAAATATCTCAAGGAGGTAATAGGGGCGAATAAGGTAGATATACGACTCGAGGAGGTAATAGGGGAGAATAAGGTCCAAAGAAAAATGCAATATTAGAGATATATGTTGGATATATGTGTGTACATATATCCAACATTTATCTAGAATATACCTGGTATACAAGACGAATATATTCAAGATATAAAGTTGTAGATTATATTTTTTTTCTATGCGGGGACAGCGAAGCGACATTCTCTCTTGACCCTTTTGATCCATTTCGCCGTAAGTTCTTGGACATTGACTATGAGAATGGATGTATTGCGGTCAATTTTTTTCCCAATCAATCATTGGCCTAATAATGGATCTGAATACTTGCTCTGATTTATATCAAGAAGACTGAGATAAAATCAAGAATATTGCCTTCATTTACCGTCCTGATAACATATGCACATTTTAAAACTAACATCTCGAAATATTCGTGAGGATAAACAAATAGACGAATGAGTATGACCTTGTCTAAATTGCATGCTGAGCATAATTTCTCAAAAGTATACATGCAACAGTACATGTAAGTTATTAGTATCGCGAATCATTACCGTTTGTTTACGCGATTCACGTTTGACGATTCGACAAACTTGTGTGATATATTTTTCGTAATCGTTTGTTAGAAGATAAACAAGAGTTTGTGTTTATAACTCTATGAAGAAAAAGAATCATTCCTAAGCTATGTGATATCCCCGTAGAATATTATAAAACATAGCATGCCTGCATATAAGATATTCTCTCATATCAATTTTCATCCTGTATGAAATATACTCTGCAAATGCAAATACTGATATATAATTCCTTTAATACCCCAAGCGACTCTTCTGTATTACTATTATACTCCAATGGCGATGAAAATTATCTGTTGTTCAGGGTTGAATAAGAAAGAAAACATTTTCTTCCACTTCGCCAAAATTTTTGAGTGTTACGAGTCCGGGACTCATGTATCAGAGCTGGGAACAGCACCGCCTGTCTCGGGCATTGGCAACATTTTTCTATGCATACTAGACGAGCGATAATATTGATGGCATAGCGCACGTGCTGATGGGTTAACGGTATTTCAATATTTATGCTGTTTCGGATTCATAAAAATGTCGCAGATGAAAAACTGATACTTTTTTTAAAATACTCATGTGTTGGCATACGCCTGGTCGGTTTGTATAAATAACCATCTCAATGGACGGAAGGTGGCAGTATCCTCAACTGATCTTGGAAAGTAAGGATCTAGCAAAATGTTGCTATTACGGCTGATGTTAATCGTGCCTCTAGTGCATGTGGAGCCATTCATGATGCCAAGTCTTACTGACTTATGGAAACTCGCAAAATTTGGTTTCAATGTTGGAAGTAAAATAAAGGACGGATACAGCGCTTACAAAAGCTTAACGGACGATACCAGCGAGAGAATAGACAAAATATTGAGTCACGTAGTTGAACTATCCGATCAAATTGAAGGATTTGAATCACGATTGGATCAGAGATTGGACAGCATAGTGGAGTCCTTGGTTGCCCGAATTACACTTGTTCAGAAACTTGACTCCTCGTTCCTCGAATTGCACAAAACTGTTGTAGCAATCGACACTATGTGGGACAACTATCTTAAGTATTCGCAGAAACGTAGGAGTTTCAACACTAATACGATAAAAGCTTTCATCACTGCGGCGACTGGACCACAGCAAGGTGGCTTGCAAGATTTGCTCAGTCAAATGCATCGATTGCTTGTCCCGCTCAGGACAGCACATATTAGGGAAAGTCTGTTGATGACGATGCTGAAGCATGAGCGCGTGAGTTACAAGTCCTTTTATCATCTTATATTACATAGCCGAGAAAATGAAATAGTTGAACATCATCACAGGAAACTCAATTGATAAGCTGCGATGAAGGCCTCTCAAATCAAGAGGCAGTTTACCAAATCTATTACAGCGTTGCTCTTACCGAATTACGAGGATTTGTCATAACTGCCTATGCTTATGGATTGCGGCCAATATATGAAAAAGGTATCGTTAAATATACGAAAGTCAAATGTTGAATATACGATTCACTACTATGATTTTTTTCGGAGTCATCATTTTTGTCTTTCTAGGAGCGTATAATGCCGAAGTGGATGCGATGCAGGCGCGATTCACAATGAGGACACGAGATTATTTATTGGCTACGAAAGAAGCGATGAAAATAGCTTCAAACAAGATTCGCCGCTGTGATCCCAAGAGCGGATTTAAGAGAGGTAACTCTCCATATTATCATTCAATCCAGTAATGCTAATCTATCATACCTTCAGGAGAAAGTTTTGTGGAGTTCGAGGAACTCTTCCAAACGTATGTCGTCGCCGAAGCAGATATACATCCTGATGATTCGTGTAGAGACAAGTGTGGAACTATAGGGAGGACTACGTTCCTAAGGTCTGTCGGCGACTATCTTGACTACGATTATACAAGAAACTGCATGGGTGATGTCGTGGATTGCAGATATGGAGGCGGAAAAATGAAAATTTGTACAGCGGTAATTATAGAAAATTCTCGTTTTTTCGTTGGAATGGAAATATCGTAATGATTGAATTTGCAGTATACAGGTATTCGTATGAGAATAACTATGATTGATCGCTAATCAAAATTCACTAGCCCTAGCCCAGTTTTCACGCCTGATTATGAGTGTGTTTTTTCCGAGTTTTTTGATAACTAAATGATCAAATGTGATATTCTTCTTCTGAGTTTGTATTCTTTCCATCAGTTCAGATTTAATCAAGGTTTTGTCAGCTAGAAAGTTCGAAACAAAATATTCGAAATTTTTGAGATATCGGCATTTTGCAAAAATCATCTTTGCGATTTGCAATTAAATTGCACATTTATTAGGAAGAACCATTCTACTGTGTCTAAATTAGAGTAATTCCCCACTCGTTTCATCACCGAGAGCTAAAGAGAGGAATAATTATTGGATATTCTCAGGAATACCCAAGACGATATAATTGGTTCAAAGAATCTGATGGATCACTCAAAGGAGATGACAGTGGTGGTTGCCGTAGTCGAGTGTTAGCGCCAAGTGGATGGATTCGCGGATTTTACAGATGTGATTATTGTGTTTGCACCTGCGAGGCTAACAGAGCAAAGAGTAAAGCAAAAAGAGCCATTAGTTTCCGTACAGCTCAAGTCAATCTCAACGACAACATGTTAGTCACTTTTTTAGCAATAAATACTGATGAATTTATCATTTTTCATCGATTATAAGATTGATGAGATGTTTTTAGGGTGGTTACAGGTGTCCGACTAGTTCAACAATTTGGAATGATTCATCTGCAAATTCAGCAAGGACGACTTCAACCTCAAGGTATGATTGAAAAGGGCAGTCAATCATGGCAGCCTATCGAAAAGATGCGATATGAGGAAGCCGGTTACTTTGGAAGATATTGGATAGATGATCCACCGAAAAACATGCGGATGAGAAGAAGGGTAGATTTTGATTTCATCAGAGGTGCTGAGAGAGCAATAAATTTGGATGATGTTATGGCTCCAGAAGGCCACGTCGTTGTAGGTAAGTTGTTTCGAACTTGAACAGTTGTATAATTTAATTCAACAATCCATCGACGGTATTCTAGGGGTTCGATTTAACCACTTAAGAGACTCGAAGATAGAATCGGATAATCCGATTCGTCTCGAAATTATGTACAAGCGGTTTGACTATGAGAGAGGGAAATTGTCAAATTTAATGGGTGATGAGCCCAAATGGATGGGTGTAGATGGCAATCAAAAGAGGTACCTTATCCTTTGATGAAAAGTTGGAAAGCTCTAATTCTTCTCTAATGTTGGTATCATTTTTGGCAGGATGAAAGTTAAGTTCGAAAAGCCTGATATTCCTGTCAAGCATAATCAAAATCTGCCGACGTTGCAGCCCAATCTTTTCGTTGAGTTCCGAGAATCAGACCCGAAGAAGGACGCTGGACAAAGCACGATTCCATTTTGGGATATTCAAGAAGTGGTCACATCCCCTGCTTTTCCACTTTCAGGTGTTGGTCTATTCCACAAAGGCCACAGAGATGGATTCTACGGAGGATACCTCGCATTGCGGCTCCTCTCCTTTGATTTCACTTATAACCTCAATGCCACGTTGCCAGATAATGTAGAAAAATCGTATGAGCAGATTTATCGTGAACCTTTGTACTCACCAACGGGTTCTGTGTGAGGCCTATACAAACGATTTTTCAAGATGAAAAATTATTATTTTGCTCATACGGCTGAAAAAAGTCTTCCGGCGAGATAAATTTTCATTTGTCTGGAAAGTTGGGTTCAACCGAGTGACGAACCTAATTGTTTATCATACTATGAGTTTCTGTATTATTATCCTATCCGAATTTGGAGCAATATTGTCTTCTAAATTAAATATTAAATATTAAAATCGTAATGAATACTGTAATGAAAATCTTCCAAAATAAAAATATTCAGCTTGAAAACAATCAAGAACTGGTGGAGCCGGTTGTAGGTACCTCGCTGCAATTATAACGTTCACTTACAAAAAATCAACTGTGAGAAATCTTAGTTCATACCCATGAATGTTTTGCTTGGATCTCCTGATGACTCAAAAAATGATGACTAAAAATGATGAAATCATGTTTGGGAAAAGTGTTGTTAATGGCTTTTCGATTCGATCAGAATATAATGGAAATCGCGTCATTCTAATCGAGTCACAACATATTCATTACGAGATTGAAAAAAAATCACTCTTTAATGCCTAATGAACAAATCGTCAGTGGAAACAATCACATTACTGCTTGAATGATCATTTTCAAGGGCTAGCAACGCACAGTATTGCCGGAAGATGCATTACAGCTTCGATTTCCTTTTGTACTCGAATAAATAACACACAATATAAAAAATGGCGTCTTGGATCACTTTGCTGATATCATGGCCGTTGAGCTCTCGATCTTCATTTTAACGTAAAAAAAACGAATGAAATTTTTCAAACTTTTGAATTATTTATCGGTCATGTATATAAATAATTTGATGAATTTGCAACATATACTTTTTTCCTTCAATTTAATATGTTGCAAGCACCGTAAATGAACACAAGATATTCCTCATTTTAACACATGTTCGATACATATTCAATCGTAATGTGATAATTTGGCTTAAGATCGAAGAAACAGACAGTGAAAGGGATTAAAAATTGAGTGGACTTGGAAATTATTCATCTATGAAAAATTCGACTTCCTGTGACCCCCGTGAATGCTCTGCTTGTATCGCCCAATTGACCCTTGTGACTCTTGTTTCATTTTCTTGGATCATTTTGTCTCACTCTCTCATCCATAATTTCTCCATTTGTATGTCCAGTAGTATATTGCAAATTTAAAATTGTTTCACAAGGGACGTCTATAGTAAAAAAATAAAAAAAACCATGATTTTTATTGATTAAGCAATTGGATTAAATCCATTAAACTACGGTTTAGAAATCTCGTTTCAAGGCTTTCCTAGTCAAATCAGAAATTGGAGGTATGAGCTTTTTATATACCAACCGCTATTAATTCTCATGAGTCAAAAAAATATTCTTTAAATAGCCATTATCAGTGCTAAAAATATAGTGATGTATAAACATGTTTATACAGTGATGTATAAACATTATAACCATTTTGATTTCTTAATAATATGGTGATACTAACTCATTTGTTGCTGAGTAACAGCATATAAATAGTTTGTGAGCGTTTATTTATCGTAAATGGGATTTCGACGATTATAGAAGAAATGATCATCGCAATCAAGCCGATTTGAGATCAATATATAAACCCGCATCGATTGAGAGAATGCTACATTGTTTTCACTTCGCTGCCAAAGTAAAAATCAAGCACGATGTTATTATTATCGTTAACGGTGTTGTCGTTGGGTTGTCAAGTTAATAGTATTGTCCCGGCAATATTTGGAATTGCGGTCCCAGGGAGTTTGCAGACACTATGGAAAGTCGCCGGGTTCGTAAATTCACTAGGAGGCAAGGTGAAAAAGGCCTATGACCTCCAGAAGGCATTTACAGACGATGGCAGCGAGAAAATCGAAGAAATATTGAGCAAAGTGGCTGAAGTATCCGATCAGATTGGAGGATTTGAATCACGTCTGACTCAGCGATTAGACATGATGGTGGAATCTTTGGTCTCCAGAATTACACTTACTGAAAAATTAAACAACGCAATCTCTGATGTGCACAAAAATATTGTGAATGTCGATGAAATGTGGAGCAACTACCTCGCGTACTCGAAGAATCTTACAAACTTCAGCAATAATACGATAAAGGCTTTTATCGATTCGGCAACTAGAGCGCACGATGGTCTCCAGAGTTGGCTTAGCCAGCTCTATGGACTCTTCATCCCAGGCAGGACAGGACCTATTATGGAGAGTTTATTCACGACAATGCTGAAGCTCGAAGGCGTAAGTTGACGATTCTCCCAATTATTTAACAATGCTGTACAGCTGAAATTAATAAGTTCAAAATTACCGCAGGAAACTGCATTGCTGATTTGCGATGGAGGCCTTTCACCTCAACAAGAACTCTACCAAATGTATCACATGGCTGCTCTCACGGAATTGAGAGGATTTATCATGGCTGTCTCTGCATACGGATTACAGTCAACGTTCGATGGAGGTATCGTTTAGAAATCCGAAAGATTGGTTATCGTGATTTTCTATATTAATGGGGTAATAGTATGATCGCCTGAGTGCACATAGCCTATTCCAAATCGTCATAAATGAAACATTAAATACGTTGGTAATAGCACCGTTCATGACTGGGTACATGTATATTTGAGAAAAATTAGCAACACTATGTTTTCCAATTTTGAACTTGCTAGAGACCTCTCAGATTATCATAATGTTAACTATCAAAAATGAATTTTTTTCTTCAACGGTCTAAATAACTCAATCATATTACAATTCTCGACAACTAATAATTTATCGTCATTCAGAGAAGTATCAGGGAGAAGTGGATATCATAGAGACGCGATTGGTATCGAGAATACAGGATTATATATTAGCGGTGACAGCAGCAATGAAAGTGGCTTCGAACACCATTCGCCGCTGCGACCCCAAGGGCGGACACAGAGAAGGTAGTTTTCTCCATCATCAATCATCTGCGAAAATACTACCTCAATTTAAGATTTCAAAGGTCTTAAAATGAGATTTTCCAAAGTTGTAATGTCAAGCCTGGAAGTTTCACGTTGAAAGTTCCGAAAGTCTGAGTTTCAGACATGAACCTGTTAATTTAAACCTAGAAGTCTCAAATTGACACCTTTAAAGGTCTTAATTTAAGATTTTTGAAGATCTGATTACAAAGTTCAGACTTTTAGAATTCTTCTTCAAGTTTAGTTCTGAAAATCTCAACTTGAAACTTTCAAAAATCTCAATTTGAGGCTTTTGAAAGTCTCGATTTAACCCTTTGTTTCACGAATGTCGCAAATCTCCTCGGTATAAGCCGAGTGTAGGGTCCGTCTGAACTTTCAAAAGTTCAAATTGCAACTTGCTTTTTTTTTAGATGTTGAATCCATTTTCGCTAACTTACGATATTTTCAGGCCATACGTACATCCAGCTGCATCGACTCTTCCAATCTTATCTCGTCAATGAAGCAGATATAGATCCTCAAGAAAAATGTATGTTCGATTGCACTCTGCAGGAGCCCGTAGGGAAGAATCGAAGGAGGGTAAATTATCCCCATACATACCGTGATCAACCAAACTGCAATGGTGCTGTTACATATTGCGTTCCTGCTACTAGGAAACTGGACATTTGTATCGAGGTGATTACATAATTCCGTCATTTGTCATCATAAAAAACAGTAGAACTAATTTTTTTGTATTTTTTCCAGAATGGTGGCTTTCCAAATAGATATAAATGGATTAAGCAGGCGGATGGAAAAGTCTGGGGAAATGACAGCGAATGTCATGGATTCCAGCAAACACTATCATCGTGGCCACGCGGTTTGTTCTCCTGTGACTATTGTCTTTGCAATTGCGAGGCTCTTAGGACAGGCGATCCAACAGTGGCGATTATCAATTTCCTCCCTTCAGAGGCGAACATACAAAATAACATGTTAATGACATTTATTTTATCAATAGGTGTAAATGATTCTGCATTGATTCATCAATTTTCAAATGAGTGATGTGTTTTTAGGGTGGTCGTGGGCGTTCAAATTGTCAAGAAAGAAAGCGTAATTCATATTCAAATTAAGGAAGGAAAACTTCAACCAGAAGGAATGATTTTGAAGGGAAGTGAAAGATGGGTGCCTCTCAAAGATTTAAACCATCTACAATCGGGTACATATTCCCACGGAGGAAGGGTATTGGAGCAAGGCAAAGATTTTGATTCCATTCACCGTGAAGGAAGAATAATGCATTTAGATGATGTTACGGTACCGAAGGGCCACGTCGTCGTAGGTAAAGTCATAAAAAAAGTGATGTTCGGACGTATCAATAAAACGAATTTTCAATATAATTTCAGGGGTTCGATTCCGGCACTCAAGAGATCCATCGATAGAGAAGTATAATCCGATTCGTCTCGAGGTTTTGTCCATACCGTTTGATTATGCCGCAGGGAATTTGTCATTAAAAGAATCTGCCAGATGGATAAGTGCCGAACCCCCACGAGCCAGGTATTTTATTCATTAGAAAAAGATAGGAAACTGACGTCCAATGGTCCCAGTGGCTAAATCGTTAGTTCGGCTTGGCCACTAGGAGGTCGTGGATTCGAATCCCAGTCCAGTCGGGTTTTTTAACTTCTGATAATAGGGGTTGGGGGCTCGAAAGGGTATCTGGGCTTCGGATCCCGACTAGCGGGACTCTTAACTTCCGGTAAAGGGGGTTAAGGGGCTCGCCTTGGGCGGATTCTGGTGGGGTCTGTCTCATCTCGGCTCTGAANCGAAGGAGGGTAAATTATCCCCATACATACCGTGATCAACCAAACTGCAATGGTGCTGTTACATATTGCGTTCCTGCTACTAGGAAACTGGACATTTGTATCGAGGTGATTACATAATTCCGTCATTTGTCATCATAAAAAACAGTAGAACTAATTTTTTTGTATTTTTTCCAGAATGGTGGCTTTCCAAATAGATATAAATGGATTAAGCAGGCGGATGGAAAAGTCTGGGGAAATGACAGCGAATGTCATGGATTCCAGCAAACACTATCATCGTGGCCACGCGGTTTGTTCTCCTGTGACTATTGTCTTTGCAATTGCGAGGCTCTTAGGACAGGCGATCCAACAGTGGCGATTATCAATTTCCTCCCTTCAGAGGCGAACATACAAAATAACATGTTAATGACATTTATTTTATCAATAGGTGTAAATGATTCTGCATTGATTCATCAATTTTCAAATGAGTGATGTGTTTTTAGGGTGGTCGTGGGCGTTCAAATTGTCAAGAAAGAAAGCGTAATTCATATTCAAATTAAGGAAGGAAAACTTCAACCAGAAGGAATGATTTTGAAGGGAAGTGAAAGATGGGTGCCTCTCAAAGATTTAAACCATCTACAATCGGGTACATATTCCCACGGAGGAAGGGTATTGGAGCAAGGCAAAGATTTTGATTCCATTCACCGTGAAGGAAGAATAATGCATTTAGATGATGTTACGGTACCGAAGGGCCACGTCGTCGTAGGTAAAGTCATAAAAAAAGTGATGTTCGGACGTATCAATAAAACGAATTTTCAATATAATTTCAGGGGTTCGATTCCGGCACTCAAGAGATCCATCGATAGAGAAGTATAATCCGATTCGTCTCGAGGTTTTGTCCATACCGTTTGATTATGCCGCAGGGAATTTGTCATTAAAAGAATCTGCCAGATGGATAAGTGCCGAACCCCCACGAGCCAGGTATTTTATTCATTAGAAAAAGATAGGAAACCGACGTCCAATGGTCCCAGTGGCTAAATCGTTAGTTCGGCTTGGCCACTAGGAGGTCGTGGATTCGAATCCCAGTCCAGTCGGGTTTTTTAACTTCTGATAATAGGGGTTGGGGGCTCGAAAGGGTATCTGGGCTTCGGATCCCGACTAGCGGGACTCTTAACTTCCGGTAAAGGGGGTTAAGGGGCTCGCCTTGGGCGGATTCTGGTGGGGTCTGTCTCATCTCGGCTCTGAACGAGCGGGAGGTTCCTAATAGAGGAATCGACTGTACCGACAGAGGTTTTCTGTGGTTTCCTTCGTCTCTTTTGCGGGGGCAAATGCGGTATAGTGTAGCAAGTCGGCCACAACCGCAAGGTTAGGTAGAGGATAGATGGCGGAGTAAACCAAATGGTTTAAAAATGCCTTAAATAAGAAAAAAGATAGGAAAAAAACTAATCTTGAATCGTGGTACAATTTTTCATAGGGAGGAACTCACGTTTGACCATCCAGGTCATCCTGGCAATAATTTCCAAAATTTGCCAACGACGAAACCAAATCTCTTCGTGCAGTTCCAAAAAACGGATCTAAAGAAGGATGCTGGACAAACTGCCATTCCTTTTTGGGATATCCAACCAGTGGTCACATCACCTAGTTCACCACTAGAAGGTGTTGGTCTATTCCACAAAGGAGACAAGGAGCGAAAGTACGGAGGATACCTGGCATTGCGTCTCCACACTTACAATTTTATCGATCACATTAGCGCTAACCTGCCGGAAACGTTGAAACATAAATACCAGAATGTCTTGTCAAAGCTCTTGGGATCTCCAATGGGCATCTTTTGAGACATATTTGCGGAATTGTTAAATGTAATTGAAAAAAAAAATATTTAAGTTGTTTGAAATATATGCAATAGCCATGTGAAATATATTACGAGAAATAAATGCTAATATATAATATGATAGTCCATACTGTTAAATTATTTATGAATTTCTGAGTTACAAAATACTACTGAATATTGTTTGTTGATGTTGTTGGCCTCGGCTTGCGTTCTAATTTGGAAAAAAAAACCACAAAATGTGAGTCTCGAAATCATTTTAAGACATGTTCGATACTCATAAAATCAAAGGGTGATTGCTCGTATGAAAATAGTAGAGGAAGACGAAATTCAAGAAGAGAAAATTGTGACAGAAATTCAGAATTGAGTGGGTTCGTTTATATCTTTCACTTGATCCACAAGGTTTGACCCGTGAATTAAATTACTCCAGTTAAATTCATAAGGGTGTACTTTTATGATGAGCCTACTATGAGTTTTCAAAGTTGCAGACTATTGAAGTGAGGTTTTTCATACGTTGAAGATCGATTATATATGCCTAAAAACGAATAATTAGTGCAGTAAAATTAATTTTTTATAGTTCGTTTGCCCCGTAGAACCTTGAAATATTTTAAGATAAATAAAAAAATACATAAATTCAATGTTCGATGGCCACCAGTGAAAAGAGGCCGAGAGTCCGCCCGCACTTGCCTTGAGGTCCCTCAATTAATTTTCTTATGACTGATGCATTTCTACGTTTCAATATACTAGATTTTCATTTATTTATGATTCACACATACATTCTCAGTACGTTATACTCAATGCGTTGGAGGAAATGCTTAAAATCATCAATGGAATTTTCCAGAATATGTTTTTCAAACTTTACTGCAAAAAAAGAACGTAACTAAGCCGATAGCAACAGCACGAGGCGTTACATTACTTTGAGTGTGTCAATTCTGGGTTTTTACTACTCCTTCGGAAAGCTAAAATGTTGGAGAATATTCGTAGCTCTTCTTCTCTTTGAAATCGAATAAATTAGGAATGTAACACTAAAAAAGGTGACCTACGTTTTATATATTCTAAGCGTGATTTATGTCCTTTTGACATTGCAAAATTTATGTCAAGAAGAACCGAGTAGTTATGGTTTTTAAACCCTACGGTGGAGATATTTTCTTGATTCTTTTCTTCTTTGCAGTCTAATTCAGATTTACGTCGTTGGAATATTCTCGAAATAATCAGTAACAAAAGTCCTCAAGACAACTGGATCCGTTCAAAAATTGTTGAAATCAATAGGTCTGCATGTATAATTCTTCTAGTAAAACAAATAATCTTACAGAAAAATGGCAGCTAAATATCAGAATTTCAATATAGATTGTCGGCTAACGAGATAAATGATATTAACAGAGATCATCACAATTTCCTTCAGGAAAATGGTATAAATACATATTCTTTGCTAAAACTATCATAATATGAAATGGAAGACTGAAAAATAAACCCAGCAAATGATTTCCACATTAAATTTTTTTGTTTTCGAAGGTGCTCAACACAATATTTGCCTCAGGAATTGCAATGACACTCAGTACCTTTGAGGAAATAATAAAAATTATTTATCAACGGACTTTTCAAGAACATGTTGGTGCTAAAAACATGTCTATGTCTGTTTTGATTTCATTGTAATGTGATAGCTATCACTCCATTTGTTGGTGCCTAACAGTATATAACCACTTTGTGAATTTTTTTTTCGGAAAGTACTTTTTCACGCTTCTTAAAGAAAGGTTTATAGAGATCAAACCAATTTGAGATCAATATAAATATCTGCATCGATTCAGAAACCATTACATTGTTTTCACTTGGTTTCCAAATTAACAGTGAAGCCAAATGTTGCTGTTGGCATTAATGGTGTTGTCGTTGAGTTGTGGTGTTAATAGTGACAGCGTGGCAGAATTTAAAAGTCTGCTACCAATACAGTTCCAAGCACTATGGGATATTGCCGAGTGGGCATTTTCCTTAGCAAACCAGATAAAAGACACCTACCAGAAAATAATGCCGGATGATCCCAGCGCGAAAGAAGATAAAATGGACACAATATTGACTAAATTATCTGAAATATCCAACCAGATTGGAGGATTCGAATCACGACTAAATCATCGATTAGACGCCCTTACACTTACTCAGAAACGAGACATCGCAATCCGTGACTTCCACGCAATCATTGTGTCTGTCGATCGAATGTGGACCAACTTCCTCATGTACGCACAGAATATTAGTTACTTTAATAAATATACGATCGAGAAATTTATCGACTCGGTGACTAGCGAGCATAATGGTCTCCAGGAATCGCTCACCCAGGTGAATCGATTATTAGCCCCCTTCAAGACATTACCTGCTGCGGAAAATCTGTTCACTACAGTGCTGAAGCTCGCTGACGTAATTTGAAGATCTTAATTGTTTTATGTTACTGCTCATGAAAAATTGAGTTGAGAACTATTACAGGACACTGTATTGGTAACCTGCGGTGGAGGCCTTTCACATCAGCAGGAAATCTACCACATCTATCATCTAGCTGTTCTTATGGAAATAAGAGGATTTACCATGGCTGTCTCTGCGTATGGATTGCTGGCAAAGTTCAAATGAGGTATCCTTTAGAAATCCAAAATATTGGTTATCATAATTTTCCATATTCAGGGAATAACAATATAATCGCCTGAGCGGGCTTGAGAAGTTTCAAATTATTATGAATGAATTCACATAGAACACGTGGGTAATGGCATCATTCAGGACTAAATCATGTTTGAAAATAAATTAGTAGTACCGTTTTCGTATTTTGAAGGTCGTAAAGATCGCTCGGGTCCTTACAATGTTGACTTTTGAGCATGAAGTATTACTTCAACACTCTAAAAAAATTCGACTGGATCATAATTCTTAATGAGTAATGATTCATCGCCATTTAGGATCCTTTGACGGAGAAGTGGATCTCTTAGCGGCGCAGTTATTGTCGAGGTCACATGAATATATAGTAGCCGTGAAAAACGCAATGGAAGAATCTTCGAGACTCATTCGCCGATGCGATCCCAGAGGCGGCCATGTAGAAGGTAGGTTTTACCCCCATAATTCAACCAAAATAGTATTTTTCGGGAGCAACAGTAGTAGTCACACGGTTAGCGTGGGACTCTGGCGGTTGTCCAAGGTAAGCAGCGTTTAGTCTGGTTAGTACTTGCATGGGTGACTGTTTAGCCCTACCTACGCGGGTGCGCGGAGAGAAAAATACATTGAAAAGTAAAAAGAACCTTCCTCAAAGATGAATGTATTTCATCAATGAGAAAAAAGACTGCTGTTCACCCAGTTTTTCGGAAGAGTCACATGAGAAACTCAGGAAAACTCATGAAAAATGAGTGCACGACTCACAAATATTAGGGTGCCACATACGAGTTTTTCATGGCGCGCACGAAATTGGCGTTTTGCAGGTCCCTCAACACGAAAATTAATATGCACACCTCGCCATGGAAAACATTACCCTCCCCCACGTGCAAGATTGCCTTCCGAGCCGAAGGCGAGGACTGGCCAACCACACGAGTAAAAAAACCCCATCGCAACAGCCCAGGAACAATATTTTTCTGTAGTGATTTTCAAGTTTTCGAGTTTGGGAAGTATGTAATACCAATTCCCAGACGAGTAATCGTGAGAAGCAGTACAGAAAACCACTTTTTCAGTGTGTTCCTATACTTTCTTGCGTCCCCTTCGGTACGTATCATGCGCTGGTGAGAAGGTACACTAATTTTCGAGAGATTTTTCTCTCCGTGTGAAACTGCTGCCGCCAAGCGCGAGTGTGGGGAACTACGGTGCGTATCCAGTCAGTGTGACGGATGGGTACAGTAGGATCCTGCAATCGGCCGGCTGTACGACTGGGATTTTCCATGGTTTCCCGTGCAGTCCTAGCCCGAATGAGGAGCCTATAAAAACGTAATAGTAGTAGGAAAGAAATATGAATAAAAAAAATAATGGTACTTTTCGTCACTAGGTCAAACGCAACTTTAGTGGTGAATATGAGTTTGTCGCCCGAGCTGCAGGCGAGGGTTGCAATTATATGGACTAGATAAGTTTTTCTCCGCCTTGTCCCGAACATTAGAGATTCCGGAAAACTTATATTAATCAAATAATTATATAATAATTCATATTCAAATAATACCTTACTTTGCAGTATATTTCACGGCCGTGTAACGGAAGGATATTTTTTGTCATTGGGCCTGAATACCGTCATTTAAACGAGTGAAGCGAGGTTAAAATCGGAGTTTATCGGACCTAGGGGACAAAAAGATTACAACAGTCGTAATTTCGAGCCTGAAATTCTTAAGTTGAAAATTTTGAATGCCTCTAGTTACACGGAGAGAAATGTTCAGTAAAAAAAAGAGAAATGTTCACCGATTACGGAATCGACTCAGAAAATTCAAGTGATGGTATCGTAATTTTTCACAGGAGATTCAGGTAAAAATTACGGAACGCTCTGAAAAATTCCGTGACAGTTCCGTAAAATTTCCTACAACTACATTTCGCTCCAGAATTACGGAAAAGATATGTAATTTATATTGAATATTTCTCTTCGTGTACGACTTCCAGAAATTAATTTAAAAGTTCTTTTCAAGTTCAGTTCTGAAAGGCTCAACTTGAGACCTTTGAAAGTCACAAAGAGACTTTCAAAGTATCAAAATAAAGCTTGTTTTTTTGGGTTATTGAATGCGCATCTGCAAACCTATCATATTTTTAGGCTCTACGTTTGCGGAGATGTACGGAGTCTTCCAATCTTATATTGCCAATGAAGCAGATATGAGTACTCCAGGGGATTCGTGTCTTTTCGATTGTCCTGGGCTAACCTACCAGAAGCATATCAGGCACAGTGCCGAGCCGTCCACATACTTGTCCCATTGGGACTGCGAGGGTATTATTACGCATTGCCAGACAGCTCCTAAGAGAATGGAAATTTGTGTCGAGGTGATAACAGAATACTCTCATTTGTAATCATGGCAAACAAATAGTAGGACTAATGGTTGGATATTTTTCTCAGGGAAATGGCTTTCCAAGGCGATATCGATCGATCAAGGGGTCTAATGGAGAAGTCTGGGGGGATGACAGTGACTGTAAAGGGCAGATGAAATCGCTATCATCATGGCACCGCTTCTTGGTCGTTTGCGACTATTGCATTTGCACCTGCGAGAGTACCAAGACAGGAAATCCGCCACTGGGGCTTATTAGTTTCCTTCCTTCAGAGGCGGACATTCAAAATAACATGTTAATGACATTTATTTTATCAATAGGCGTAAATGATCCCGAGTGGAAATTCTGTTCAGGTCTCGATCAGAAACTGATCAAGTCTGATCCGATATTCTGATCAGGCATGTTACGCCTCCACCTTATGTTTTTCCATTAGGGATTCTGCTTTGAGTAGTGATGCCGCGAGGGACGAGACGAGAAACTGCCGTTTTTCGTCTCGTCTCAATTCTCTCGTCTCTCGCGGCATCACTAGCTTTGAATCATCGATTTTCAAATGTGATGTGTTTTTAGGGTGGTCGTGGGGGTTAAAATTGTCAGGGCCAACAACACAATTTACGTTCAAGTAAAAGAAAGAAAACTTGAAGCAAATGGGTCGATTTCAAAAGGAAGTGACAGATGGGTGCCTCTCAGATATTTAATGTCTTCAGAATCGAGTATGTTTTCGTCCGAAGGAAAGAGACTGATCCGGACCATAGATTATGATGCCTTCCACGGAAACAATAGAAAATTAAATTTAGATGACGTTTTTGTACCGGAGAACCACCTCGTTGCAGGTAAAGTCATGGAATAATTAGGATTCGGACGGATCGATAAAACAATTTTTCAACATAATTTCAGGGGTTCGATTCAAACACATGAGAGAGATTCAAACACATAAGAGAGATAATCGGATTCCCGTAGACATGGACTACGCGAATCCGATTCAACTCGAAGTTTTGGCAATACCGTTTGACTATNCCAGGGATGGCCGAACCTCGGTCCACGCCTGGGCGCCCAGGCTTGGCAAGCCCAGGCTTGTGCCAGGCTTGACCCGTTTCTCCAACACTGGCATTTCGTACGTGGGAGGGCGCTTGTCATTGGAGGCACCTGCCAAGTGGATAAAAGCCGAACACCAAATTCGGTACGTTACTTTTTGGCGGTTTATTTTGGCGCTCATGGATATTTTGGAGCTGATGAAGAATCAATTTAAAAAATGGAAAACAAAAAAAACATATATGAAAGTGAATAACCAAAAATACGTGGGCCATTCCGCCGAATATCATAGGGAAATCCAGCCTCAAAATTATCAAAAAAAATTTCTTGTTTCTTTCATAGTTATGTAAAAAAGATTTTTCACGTACCAGATCCTATGGTTCAATTAAGGACGTTCCACGTGATTATTCAAATTTAGCATCTCCTTTTTTATACGCAGGTATTCGAAAGGAACCAAAAAACATTTAATTGCTGATCAATGATGTTCGTTGAATTGAATTATTAAGTATCTTCACATTTACATTGTCCTTTCCATGAAATTATTGAAAATGTTCATGTCAAGGTTGTCAATTGCATAAAATTACCAAGTTTAAATTACTAAGTTTATTAAAATAAAAACTGAATTAATTGATTTTTCGTATGCGCCAAAAAATTCATGAGCGCCAAAAATTCCTACGCCAAATACTTTTCCGCCAAAATAACGGCGGAATTATCATTATACTGATAGACTGATTCATTTATTCCAACCGAGATTCGTTGATAGTTAACGAATGGTACACTTGAAAGGTGAAAATCGAGTCAAACAAGTTTTTTCAAATGGGCATTTGTTAACTATTAACGAATGAATATTTGGTGCACGGAAAAAAATTGAATTGAGTATAAAATATATTTGATTCAAGTATATTTTAAACTCAATTCAAGTATATTTTTTTTCCGTATAAGACCCAATAGACTCTCGTCTCCAATCAAATCCCTTCGTTAACAATAACTAATCCTTTCGATCAGTGTAAAGAAAGATACAAAAAAACGAATATAATCGGGAATGTTGGTACAATTTCTCATAGGAAGCAAATCAATTTCGATCATCCAGATCATCCCCGTAAATTTAAGGAAAATGTGCCAACGATGGAGCCAAATCTCTTCGTGGAATTCCAACAGACAGATCTAAAGAAGGATGCTGGACAAACTACCATTCCTGTATGGGATATCCAACCAGTTGTCACATCACTTAACTTCCCGCTCGATGGTGTTGGTCTGTTCCACAAAGGAGACAAGGATGGAAAATTCGGAGGATATCTGGCATTACGAATCTACTCCTACAATTTTGTCCATCATATCAACCCTGACGCCTCGGGGTTGAATTTGCCGCACCATAAAGTCTTGTCAAAGCCCTCAACCTTGGAGATGGAGAAGGAGAATTGTTGAGAATAATTCAAAAAAAATTTCATAAATTGTTTAAAACATGTGTAAATAAATATGTAAATTACATCATGAGAAATAAATGCTGATATATAATATGATGATCCATAGTGCTAAAATATTTATGGAATTCCCCGTCACAATATCCTATTGTTTATTGCAGAAGAATCGATACCAAAATTCAACCACACCAACATATATACACGGAGAGAAACATTCAGTAATTACGGAACAATTTACGTAATCCGCAATGGGGAATCGTCTTCCGGAAATTTTTATACGAATGGAAGAGAAGAAATGTGAAACTTTCAGTGAATTTTCAGGCGCATCACCGAACAAAGGACGAAATTGTGACGTACTTTTTCCTGAAGAAGTAAAATCTTACAGAAACTTCCCGACTTATTATGCCTCCAAAATCAAAAATTCTTGAACGTTCAACAATTTTTATGAAGCTAGTGAGTTATTTCTATGTTCGGTTCCGTAAAATTTCTCAATCGTTGGGGAAAAATTACGGAACGACTTGTTGTCCCCACAGCGGTGAGTCATCAGACGGGTGGTTAATTTTTACGGAACAAATCGTACAAATTACGTGTGGCGATTCGTGCAATTTCAGTTCCGACTCACACTTTTTAGTGAATTTTACTTCGCTCGCGGATTACGTTTCGAAACGTAATTTTTACGTTTTTCTCTGGTAATTTTTATTGAATTTTCCTCTCCGTGTAACAAAAGATGACGATGAGGCATGAATAAATGAAATTTCCTCCGAATAGATTTGAACAATACGAGTAATTTTTCTCTTCATCCACGTAACGACACCCATTCTGCGTATCAACTAGTCTAATGACCGGAAATACGTTTTTTCGGGCCTGATTCATTACCTATCTGTCGCTTCATTTATTTAAGGGACCAAATTCGAAGTGGAATTGGGTCAATGAGATTGGGGTGGAAAAAATACTACCAGTGTCACGAAAACAATAGACAAGAGCAATCGCACGACACGAGACAAATAACCACGTCCTCGGAGTGAATCGAGGAACAAATTTGGAACGAGACGATAAGGACGTAATCTTACACCTCTTTCCTCCGAGCCCCACTGAGTGGAGGGTCCACGTACCTCCCTGTTTACTCGGTTTATTAGGTTCTCTTAAGGGGAAAGGTGACTTATAGGAGAAAAAACATACCCCGAGGGTTGAAATATATCTTTGAGGAAGTCGCTACGAGTCAAGATGGATCGAGAGACTTCCCCGGGGGATTCTCCGTCGTCAATTGAATGTCATCGAATTCGTTTTTCTTCTCTTCATTAAGACACTGATAGATACGAACGAAACACATCCATTAAACCTGCGAAACCAGTCACGAAGTCAATAACAATAATTCAGGGAAATACGTCTACACGGTAGGTAGATTTAATATCTCCTACCCTCGACTGTCCTTTGCCCCTTTTGCGTCTCTCCATCGCCAACACATCCGGTTTAATATTTATCGCGTAATAGAATATGACCCAAGTACGTTGGAACGCGCCGGGCGTTTACGCGGTTGGTTAACTCAGGAAGCCCCAGGAACATAAACCCGAAAACTAAATCCAACTAACCAAACTCAAACCAGCCTTTCACGTATATTCATGCTGTACACTATAACCGACTCCCCTTTGCTCTCCAAATGTCAGAGTGTATAGTAAACTGAATATCCGTGATTTCACGGGATATTCCGCGGGCTATCGCATTTATTGGTCGACGCGGGTGTATCTCAGAACGGATGTGAATAATTGTTTGGATGTGCGGACGTGTTGTGTTTGGGATTCAATCCATACGTGAGAGAGGGGTCTGAGAGTTGTTGTGAAAACACTGTAAAAACCAGTGTATTTGAGACGTCTTAATTTAAGCTATTCACGGAGAGACATATTCAGTAAAAATTACGGAAAAATTTGTTATCCTCACAGCGGTGAGTCATCAGACGGGTGGTCAATTTTTACGGAAAAAATCGTAGAATTTCCGTGGTGATTCGTACAATTTCAGTTCCGACTCACACTTTTTATTGAATTTTACTTCACACGTGGATTACATTTCGAAACGTAAGTTTTACGTTTTTTTCTGATAATTTCTATTGAATGTTTTTTTTCGTATTGGACGCCAAAATGCAGCGTCTGGATAACTGTGATGAGTGCATTTTCAAATGGATTAAAATAAGATTTTCACCAAAATGATAAGTATCCTCGTTCTTTTCATCAAATAATACCTCAAATTATGTTTGAAACAACTAGAGAATAAGAAAAAATCAAACCGAATTAAAATAATAAATCCAATTGGAAATTATATAAATGTTGAATCAGACCAAGGTATCAACCACAAAAGAAGAATGAATCTTTCGATTCTTTCCAAATTAATAATAAATAAACAATCGTCTCAGATTGGTAGTAAATTTTCCTGAATTTGAATTGAATTTAAAACGAAAACGGCCACTAAATTTCTCATTCATCTTGAAAATTCAAGAAAATTGGGTTTTTCATGTTGAATAATTATTGATTTTTCAATGAAAACCCGAATCTCCAAACTCGTCATGACAATTGAACATCACATACAAGTCAATTTTCAATAGATTGAAAATTCCGAAAAGTTGTTGCCTGAATTTTCAAAATTATTGAAGTTTTCCAGTGCCGTATATGGACCTGAAAATCGAGAATTGCTTAAATATTTAAGAAATTAACTGATTGGTCAATGAAGAAATATACAGAAATTTCCAGTAACTTTGTCGTTGTTAAAAATTTCAAGCTTATTCACTTGAAATTTCAGGAGTAATTTTCTAACAGTGTATCGCTTGTTGGATATAATAAGCTTGAAACAAAAAAACCTCGAGTAAGACACCTAGAGTGAATCCTTGTCTAGAATCCTTATCTCAATCTATTAAGTGGAGGCACTGCAAGTGACTTAAATTTGGGAATACATACGCATAACATAGCACAGAATTTTTCCTGTCTTCAGCCACATGATTTTATCGTTCTTCACATGAACTCCCTGCATAACACCATCATTCCAGAAATCACATAATCCCCGACTGCAACGTCATATATCCACATATCCACTCACCATGAAGCAAGTGTATACCACATACATTGCGATGCGTCATAGACTCGTAAACTCCAGCTAGATATTAAACTTTTACAATCCCATGTGCATTGGGCATGGGTTGGACACGAGGTTATGATGATTAGATGTAACTCGATAATACGCCAACAGCCTCCCTCCACAAACTCCAAGCGTATGAAGCTGGTAGTCGTTAAAAGCTGCCGTTAAATCAGCAGAAAAGCTAAAAATCGTAAAACATCATCTCTCGACAAAAGATCCTCACATGTATTCACCCGAACAAAAAAAATCCAAATAATGGAATTGATGTTGGGAATACAACTGAAATACATCATCCGCATTCGAAGGAATTTTTTTTCATTTCATTTTTCATGCATAAACCGACCGAAATGATAAATGTTCTTTTTCGCTCCACAGATTATACCTTTTTATTTATCGAAACGACGTTGAAGGAAATGCAATATTTCGCCAAGCGTGACAATACT